CGCCCACACGAAAGTTCGTGACACCCAGTAGCAGAGGGGGCACAGGGTAATCCTCCCTCCCTCCCCCCCCCCTCCCCCCACTGGGCCCCAAAGGAGTCACATAGGATCAGAAGGCGCCCATAGCCGTCCGAACAGGCGCAGTTTCAAAACACAAGACGCACCAAAATTGGGTGTCTTTGGACTTTCAGGATCAACACCAACATCAAGAACGGTCGCAAGCGAAACTGAAGGGCTCACGAGCAGATAACAAATATTTGCTCACTGATTGATAGGGTAGTGGTTGGGAGATTTTAAGGCTCAGTGTGCTGTCAAGACGCCGTGGGCTATTTTTGGGCGTCGGCCCTTTATGCCAATTGCAGGGTCAATTCGATCGTTAAGGAGCCTTCCACGTTGGTCTGGGTTAACACGCGCTCGGGTGGGGATCAAATTGACCCTCCCAAATGTTTTTTTTTTCCAGAATAGTTCCCGAACGGCGCGGCATAGCCACATCAAATTTTGCGTAGTTGTAGACAGCTGAATAGCAGACCGTCTGAGATCAAAAATGTATATGTACCTGGCAAGGTTGCTGACCTATGGCAGGTTCAAGTCAGGCCATGGTTTAACCGAAATAATTTTCTAGGAAATAGTTCAATATGATCCAGCAACGGAGTGTTGGACGAAACCATACACGTCTGAGACGCTTTCTTAGGCAACGCAACAGCTGAATGAACAAATTGCACTGACCTAAGGTCCGATATGAAGGTCAGACCAAGGTAAAAACCAACGTGTCTTATGACTCTAGAGTACTGTGTGGGGTAGTTTCTGGTGCACATTTCGAATTTATTGATAACAGGAACCGCATTATACACCTTCCATAAACTTCTTAAAGGTCTGAATAGGTCACTGGCCTAGTATGACCCAGATCAACATTTTGCTTTTAGGAACATGCTGCGTAGCATAATCCATGTCACTTATCCGAATGCAAAACTCAAAGCGGTCTTGCATGATTTTGGTCACCATGACCTTCGAAAGGTCAAACGGGGTCGCTGACCTTATATGAGCATGTTACCTTTTGCTTGGAGCAGTTTTCTAGGTTCCATGGGCCCTTTGAAGACCGACCTGGAATTTGACCTTGTTTGACCTTATTGGACCCAAAGGTCATGATCTAGGAACTTCAAACCTTAGGCTAAGTGAATTCACGTGCATATCAACACACCCTGTGCATTTTTTGTTGCTGGCTCTCTTTGTTCCTGAGATCTCAGGGAGGTCAAATTGACCCCCCACCCCCCCCCCCCCCCACCCCCACCCAGGCGAAGCGTATCCAACCAGCCACCTCGGCGCGTGCTAGTCTACCGGCACACTCGCGATATGCTCATGGGCCCTCTATATTGGTCTAGGGCCCTTCCAATTTCCTATCGCTTGCTTGCAGCCACGCACGTCTTGTCGCCCGTCCCCCCCCCCCCCCATTTGTTAACCTGCTTGGGCAGACTCGATCGTTCATGGGCCCTCCACATGAGGACTTGTGCACTTTTTAATGGATTTTATCATTGCTGCTTAGGTCGGAGCCCATTTATTAACTTGGTCGGGCATACCCGATCGTTCGGGGGCCTTCACATTGGGTACTTTCGATCTCCTCAAAGGGCCTTGCGTTCTTGTCGGGCCCCATCTGTTAACATGGTTGGGCATGCTCGGTCGTTTGGGGATCCACCACATTGGGTCTTGGGCACTTTTTATTTGAATGGAAGGCCTATGCTCTTGTCGGGGTCCTGTCTGTTATCCTGCTCGTGCAGACTGGACTTTTGGATTGCCCTACACATGGTGTCTTGGTATTTTAATGTAGTGCCCTACGCTCCTGTCAGGCTATTTAATAACCGGATCGTGCACACTCGATCTTTCGGTGTCCCTCCACACTGGTTGTTGGATACTTTTTTATTAACTGAGACCCTATGCTGTTGTCGGGGCCCATCTGTTAAGCTATCCGGGCCGGTGGTGGATCGAGGGGTACCGGGCCACGAGGTTTGAGGCTCTTACACTGCCTAGAGGCCCTACGCTGTTGGCGGTGCCATATGTATCCAATTTTCGGGTAAATCTCATCGCAAAGGAGCCTTCCACGCTGTCTTTGACCTTCTTGCATTTTCTCCAAGAGCCTTGCGCTGCTGCTTGCTTGGCCACTATCAGCCAATATGCTGGGCACTCTTGATAGATCAGGGGCCCTCCACGGATTCTTCCCATTCGGCCGAAAGGCTCTATATGCTTTTTCCGGGGCCCCATATGTCGGGGTACACTCGGCTCCTAAGGGGCCCCTCATGCTGGTCTCAGGTTCTTCCGCTCGTTGGAGGGCCTTGCGCTGTTGCTGCGGCCCATATAAGGTGACACACCAAGGCACTTGATGCTCACGGGCCCTCTGCGTTGATCCAGCCTCTGCTCCTTTGATATTAATTGCGTAGGACACTCTGCTTCTGTCGTAGCCCTTTCCGCTAACCTCCCCGGGCACTTTCGACCTCACAGGGGCATTAATTCACGTACTCTGGTCCTGGGGAATTCGCCTTTGCTTAGAGCACCATGCGCTCTGGTCGGGGTCCTATATGTTATCCTGCCGGGGCACTCCCGAGCGTTCAGGGGCTCACCACGTTGGTCTTAGGTTCTTCTCTCTCGCTCTGAGGACCCTTTGCTTGTCGACGGCAACCAATTTGTTGTTCTGCCGCGGCACCTCCGACCGCTCAGGTTTTGTTTCTATCTTTAACACGCGCTAGGGTGGGGGTCAAATTAACCCCCTCGAAGGTTTTTCCGGAATGGTTTCTGGACGTCGGGGCATAGCCGCGCGAAGTGTTGAATAGCTATAGACAATTAAATAGTAAATTGTTTGGTATCAAAAATTTTAATGTACCTTGTAAGGTCGCTGACTTACGGCAGGTCAAAGTCAGACCATGGATTCAGCAGTCAATTTACAAGGAATCGTTCATTCTGATTCAACAACGGCGTGTTGGACGGAGACATACATCCCTGGGAACCCTTACAAGGAAATACAGCAATTGAATGAGCAACTCCATTGACCTAGGGCCAGGCATGAAGGTCAGAGCAAGATCAAAACTGACCTGTTTTATTACTCCAGGGCTTGCTGTATGGGGTAGTTTCTACGGTTTATTTCGTTTTGATTGATAACAAGAACCGCATAATACATCTCCCATGCACCTCTAAAACGTCAGAATAGGTCCCTGACCTAAAATGACCCAGGTCGACATTTTGGTTCTAGGAACACACGTCCTAGCGTAATATTTGCCTTATTCAAAGGCAAAGCTCCGAATAGTCTTGTATGAGTTGGTCACCATCACCTCCAAAAGGTCAAAAAAGGTCACTGATCTTCAATGTTCACGTTAACCTTCATTTAGAACAGATATCTAGGTTCGCGGGGCACGCTGGAGACCAATCTAGAATTGATCTTATTTGACCTTATTTGACACGAAGGTCATGACTTAGGAATCTCAAACTTAGGCCTAAGTAAGTTCACTTACAGACCAACACACGCCGTGAATTTGGTGTATCTAGCTCTCTTAGTTTCTAAGATCCCAGGGGAGTCAAATTGACCCCCACCGGAGCAAAAGGTATTCAACCGGCCACCCAGGCGCGTCAAAAAATTATTCCGAACTGTTTGCATGCGTGGTTTTGGACGGTGTAAGATTTGGACGGTTGGACGGTTGGACAGCTTTGTGTTTCAAATGTTATCGAAGGGCCCGCACCATTGACGGGGATCTAAATATAAATTGGTCGAGGGGCTTTTGACCGCTTTGGGCCCTGCACATTGGCCGTGAGCTCTTCCGATGGTGCTTGAAGGGTCCTACTCTGTTGGCGTTAACTAACTTGTGTTTGCGAGCGCCAGAGCGTTTCGCCTTTTCGGGCGCGAGGGCCTGGCTAAATAACTTCGCGTTCACAAGTTCGAGATCACACGATGACAGTTTTACTTCGCGCCTTAGCAAGAGGGCAGCGGTCGGGTATGCGCCGATTTTTTTAACATGCTTGTATGCGCTAGCAACGTCCTGTATGTCATTACCTTTGGATATTAAGCTTGTAACACTTACTGCACTTGTGCATCACGATCTAAATACATGCCTTAAAGGGACAGCGATTCACCATGACCTGGAGAAAATGACAAGCTTGATATAAGTGCACGTGCAGCACGCCGAGTTTTCTGGGCAGCTCGAAGTAAGATGGGTTCCCGCATACAAAAAAGAAACATTAGAATGTACTGGCCGGAGTATCACTACTTTTTAGGAGGGGCCCCCATACCTCAGGGGCCCACAATATGACGTACCCCCCCCCCCCCCATGAAATCCTGGATCCGCTACTGGTGAGCCCCGCACAGCAAGGCTGCTGGTTTGGTTGCCAATGCTTTGCGGTGGTCTCTGGAAGCCAAATTCTACCAAAAAGATATCAGCTTTTAACGGCCTGCAGGTGGTCCAATGGAATCATTCCACAAAAATAGGCATGTAGCTCAAACTGCAAACCTGAGTTATTCGGGGGTAAATTCGAAGAAAAACTGTTTGAGAAGTCTGAAGTGGAAGGCCCTGGGGTGTAACTTTAAGTCGACTCAGAACATGCTCCTACCCATTTCGAATTTCAAACCGCCTTTCATTTTACCGGCCCGCGACGGAGATGGACCGACATGCAACCCCGGTAACTCTGGCGCGACATAGCGCGGAAAATGCAGGTTGCATAAAGATCAAAATCCGTGGAAAAGCCATCCAATATAAAATAAAGCCGAATGTTAAAGATTCTATCTTTTCAGTTTATCTGGAATGAGTAAACAACAATTGAATCAATTATTTCATATAATTACTGCAGTGTCCTGAAAACTTCTGTTAAATGCAAATAAAATTAAAATAATATTAGACAACCATTTTATCCGCCAGGGTCTCTTTGATAGCTCTTGAGGGTGTAAACTGAATCCAATGAGTAACAGAAACCGCGGCACAAATTGCGCTGTATTGATGGGTGGTGCCCGTTTGTTATTCTCCGAAGAAGTGGACGCCCGTTGGGCGGCCAGCGTGACAATTTGGCGTTGATATCAGGCATATTCTTCGGTTAGTCTTGGATTAGTGTACTGCACAATTTCATTAAGTTGAATCGTGATTCATCGTAGCTTACGGTTGACCGGAAGGTAAGGCATGTGGTGCCTGTGCGGGGAAAACTGGACGTTAGGGAAATATAACGTCTTGTAGACCTGGTCAGCGTTGTTCCTTGAAATTAGTTTTTCGCCAGGATAGTAACAGGACGGTAAGTGTCTAGGTGTGTGGTGGGTGTTAATTTGCAGAAGTGATACTTAGAATTCACTCAGCAATGGATGCATCCTATCAAAGATAGCATCACACATTCCATGTGACCTATTTTGTGCTGCTCCTGTATAAATTCAGAAAGCATTCTGTGGGACCAATTCTGTGCTGATCTCAGTTTGGATGAGCATGTCTTTGCACACACATGATTTGTGGATTCAGTAGGTTATGTAAATGAGAATGGCCATCTACCTAGAAGTTATAGCTCATAAAACAATAAATCAAATACAGCTTTATTTATAAAAAGACAAAGCACTTTGTCTTGAAATATTGCAACACTGAAAACATTATGTAACTTAAATGAATGTTCCCAATCATCATCATCATAAATGAATGTTCTGCCTAGGTCGTGTTGCTCACTTTATACCCATTCCCCGTGCAATAGACGTGCAGCTGTTTAATTGACAAGGGTTTGCCAGGAAATACAATGCTGGAGCTATCTGTTATTACTTTTTCTTAGGTTTCCACCTCTGCACATCATATGTCACTCTTGGCACCCATTATAGATGCATACAATATTCCAAAGTGCATCCTGTAAGGTGTATGGGATGTAAGTAGGGATTCATGTTATCAGAATCCTGGCTCTCTGTCAGCCTCCCCACACTATTTATTGGTGCTAATCTGTTGTCTTTTGGCCCTGAACCCAGACATCTGACCTGCCTTGCCTATTTGTCAAGCCTGAGGTGCTTAGATGCCAGGTTGATTGCCACATTGTTTGATGCTAATGGCTAATTTTGAGCAAAGGAAGGACAACTGGCAGTGAACCCCAAGCCAGGGTATAAAAACATGCAAAATGTTGACATCACTGGCACCCAAGTGGTGATATTGAAATACCCTGCATATCATGTGTACACCTTGTGTGCAGTCTATGGATGCAAACCAAGCCATGCAACTAACCATACAGACCATCATGGCTATCTTCATACAAGCATCATGAGGCTATAGCCTGCTACCTGATTGTGTTTTGACTTTTTATGTATGTACTTGCATTAAAATGAGTTGACACAAAGGATGTGTTTAAGTGTTATCCAAGATTTGAAATGTTATGAGAGAAGTATTACATCAATATTCAGCAATTGGTTTGCCTCCATACACCATGCATATCAGCCTTGGCAGCAGCACTCTCAGCACTGTGAATAGAAGCAAATGCTGTAATTGTTAAAAATAACTATCCTTTCATATTCACATGCATTCTTTTCCAACCATTTTCATCAGTCCTTAAACATGATGATGTACATGTTAGACATATATATATATATATATATATATATATATATATATATATATATATATATATATATATATAATACCAGATCAGTATTCATTTTAGCCTTACTTGGTGGCATAGGAATGGGAGGTTTAGCTATGGCTTCTCACTTTTTGATAATTTTAACTTATCCCTGATAGCAAGGGATGGAAAGACTTCAAAATTTGCACTTCTTGCTCATCCCTCCACCCCCACCCCCCACCCCCTCAAATACACTCACTTCAAATTGTTGGTATGGCTGTCATGCAACATGGATAATCAGGCTAAGTTTTTGGAAGTAATAACTTTGGAGCTGGGTAGCATAACACCTTTTTATTCTGTGAGTTTTTAGTAAAGATTTTGCTGTGTATGGTGCTTGCTAGATACTAGCTTATAGGGCCTGTTACTGGAACAAGGAAGATATGGAATGGACCAAAAAAGCACATACTCATTTGGTATCATAGCTTGATGCAGTTTGTATGTGTATCATGGCCTGATGCCAAATCTATGCCACATTTGACCCCCTCCACTGGCCGCCCACCTGCTTGCCCAGTGGCGCTGCAGCTCATCACGAGTGACGAACGTCGCCGACAGATGGCCTCCCATTCGGCCCAGCGTCCGCCGTCGCGCGCCTCGCACGCGTCGCGCGTGTCGGAGGTTTCGCGCGGCGCCGCGTCGCTGTACTCGGTGGGCTCTGTGCACTCGGTGCGATCATCGGCCGCTCGCTCCACCGTGCCGCTGACCGGAGAGATCGAGCCTTGGAAGCCGCCCGTGCTCAAGAAGGCGCTCTTCATGTCCATACCCAAGGCGTCCAACATCACCGCCATCTATTCCATCGTAAGGCCTCTGCATGACGCGTGACTTTGGCTTCCGTCACCCGTGCGTTGTAGCAATTGGGACGTAATTCTGACAGTGTTTGGTACCTGAACCCGTAGTACGTGTAGCTTTTGACGACCATTTCCAGCCGTACTTCACTCATCCATTGAAGCTTTACTGGACAGCCTTTAAAACATCCCTGTTTTCAAAGATATGCGCTGGGTAAGCGCTACAGCTAAACATAAGAGCTTTGATCGCGCCCACGGCTATCGCGGGTGAAGGCGCGCCAGCGAACACGCCCGCCGCCGACCACGCCTGACCCGAGGCTGACCGGCGACCGCGCGTGTGCCCCCAGCTGCAGGCGCTGTTCACCATGATGACGGCCGTGTTTGACGTGTATGTGCTGGTGGAGGCAGAGCCCGGCAAGGAGCACTTCGGCTACTACGTCATTTCTTTCGAGTTCGTGTACGCCGGCAATCCGCACGGTGAGTGGTGACTGAGCAGTGACGTCGTCGTCCGTGTGTGACGTCATCTGGCTGGAAGCCCCGGCGATGGTTGGTCATCGTGCTCGGGAAGTGTTGTGCTCGTGGGGTTGGGTTTAGATATGCATTTCTCTGCCGTGTGCGCCGAATAGATACCACGGAACTGAACTCCTCGACGAAATGTTTTGTTCTGATCAGTCATTGTTCTGGATGTAGTTTGATGTAGTGGAAACGGTGGTTATTATGTGTTCCCTCTGAGGTCATTATTAAGCTGCCGGACCGTGCAGTAGTGTCTGGATCATGCCGCCTTTCCGGGTGCGACACCTCGTTTGATACCTTGCCTTGCCCCGCTCGCAGCCCCCTTCTCCGTCTATGCCGTGACCTCTCGCGGCCCCCGTCTCCGTCTGTGCCGTGACCTCCTCGCGGCCCCCGTCTCCGTCTATGCCGTGACCTCTCGCGGCCCCTTTCTCCGTCTGTGCCGTGACCCCTCGCGGCCCTCCGTCCTCGTCTGTGCCGCCCCGGGCCGCCAGCCCGCCAGCCGCTAACGAGCCGCTCCTCCCGCAGTGCGAAACTGCCTGATGGCCTTTGCCATCTTCAGCCTGCTGTTTGCACTCGCCCTGTTGATCATCAGCATCGTGTTGCTGCAGGCGCTCAGGAAGGTACGTCACGTGCCAACGGCGTGGCCCGGGCTCGACATCCGGGCTCGTTTTGCTGGCAGGGTGCCGATCGTGCGTGGACAGATCCGCAATTAGACAGTTATTGCTATTTCTAGGTTCATTTGGGAGGGCATTGATATAAGGGCAGTGTCATTGCTCTTTGTGAGGATCTGCTGCTGTTGTGTCCGCGGAAGCTTTTTATTGTTATGCGTCTCACCTTATTTTTGGGTGTTGGAATTGGGCTAGTAACTGAAAAATTTATAATCAAATCACTGTATTTGACAATAAGTGGAGAAAAATGCAGGCAATGTCAGATGAGACATGCATTGGTTTTACTGGTTGAATGTGGTATTATATGTTTCGTGAGTGTCGACTTTCAGGATTCATTTGTGAGTCGGCACTGACTTGTTTAGTGCACTCTATACCAAAAAATATTTTTGAACATCTAGTAAAGGTGACATTACCCCCCCCCCCCCCCCCCTTAATGATCGTCGCGCTGACTACTGAAGATGCCAGCCACGTACACGGCCTGTGCTCACGAGCTCGGCCTGTGCCACTCGCCAGGAGAATGAGAAGCAGATCCGGCCGTGGCTGCTCATCATGTTCTTCCACACGTGCTGGCGCGCCTTCGCCATCGTGTTCGCCTCGCTCGTCAACGACATGTACTTCGTCTACCACGGCCTCATGTGCTTCATCTGGTCGTCCATGATCCTGCTGAACGTCTACGGCTGGCTGGTGGTCTGGTCCTTCTTCAACGAGCTGACCGAGGTCTCGAAGCTGGAGGACATCGCCCATCTGAAGGTGGGTGAGATTGCTGGGTGAATTCCACAGCTCTAGTCAAGCTGTTACACTTACACCAAGTACCCCCACACCGTCGGTTTTCAGACCTGGTAGCACCGAGGGCTCCCCGTCCTCAGCCGTGGATCGGGACCTGGTTTGCCTGCAGGTCTTTGTTTTGCGCCGTCGTGTTCAATCGCTCACCCGCCATGCATCGGTGTGTGGGTCTCCTTTGTGAGCACAGGCTCTCGCAGCCTGATGCAATGGATTCATGTTGGTGAGCTTGGTCTCTTGCAGCCAGAAACCAGCAAACTGGTTGCCGCATTTTCGTTTCTAAACGTGTGGCGGCCGTGTCCGTCCATGTGGTGACTGGACGTTGATTGAGCGACGTTCGCCGACCGCGGTACCTGTAGTGATAGCCAACAGGCTGTGGCGGCTTGCGGTCGATGCCTATCGCTCGCCTAGATCATTAAATCGGCATGGGTGTCGCATAAGGCAGGAATACGACTCGTTTTCATTGTCAGTTATATATTTGCCGAAGAATTCGCGTCTTACGTGTTCGTGGTAGTGCACTTCCTATGCATGCATCGTAACAAGGATACGTATTGCACGGGTTTTATAGAAATACGGAATAGCTACAGAAGTTTGCTCTATGTCCTTCATGCATATTCTTGGTGCGCCGCGGTCATAGTTAATGCACCGCTCGCTTTGGAACATACCAGATTTAATGAAGTGGCTTCAGACCACGGCCTGGAGTGGGCGGGCTTCTATGTTAGGCTGGCGGGCGTGAGCGTGTTGTGCTGTGGCTGACGCCGTGTGTCTGCCCTCTATCCTGTCCCGCTGCTGACGGCCGTGTGTCTACCTCTCTCCCGGGCCGTGGCCGACGGCCGTGTGTCTACCCTCTCTCCCGTGCCGCTGCTGATGGCCGTCTGTCTGCCCTATCTCCCGTGCCGTGGCTGGCGGCCGTGTGTCTGCCCTCTCTCCTGTCCCGCTGCTGACCGCCGTGTGTCTACCCTCTCCCGTGCTGTGGCAGGCGGCCGTGTGTCTGCCCTTTCTCCCGCGTCGTGACTGGCGGCCGTGTGTGTGCTCTCTCCCCGCGCCGTGGCTGATGACCGTGCGTCTGCCCTCTCTCCCGTGTCGTGGCAGGCGGCCGTGTGTCTGCCCTTCTCTCCCGTGTCGTGGCTGGCGGCCGTGTGTGTGTGCTCTCTCTCCCGCGCCGTGGCTGATGACCGTGCGTCTGCCCTCTCTCCCGTGTCGTGGCAGGCGGCCGTGTGTCTGCCCTTTCTCCCGTGTCGTGGCTGGCGGCCGTGTGTGTGTGCTCTCTCTCCCGTGCCGTGGCTGACGGCCGTGTGTCTGCCCTCTCTCCCGTGCCGTGGCTGGCGGCCGTGTGTCTGCTCTCTCTCGGCTGACGGTCGTGTGTCTGCCCTCTCTCCCGTGCCATGGCTGACGGCCGCGTGTCTGCTCCCTCCCGTGCCGTGGCTGATGGCCGTGTGTTTTCCCTCTCTCCCGTGCCGCGGCTGATGGCCGTGTCTACCCTCTCCCGTGCCGCCGCTGGCGGCCGTGTGTCTACCCTCTCTCCCGTGCCGTGACTCTCCCATGCCGTGGCTGATGGCCGTGTGTCTGCCCTCTCTCCCGTGCCGTGGCTGATGGCCGTGTGTCTGCCCTCTCTCCCGTGCCGTGGCTGATGGCCGTGTGTCTGCCCTCTCTCCCGTGCCGTGGCTGATGGCCGTGTGTCTGCCCTCCCTCTCGGCTGACGGTCGTGTGTCTGCCCTCTCTCCCGTGCTGCAGCTGGCCAGCCGGGCCGCCTCTCTGGCTGCGCCGCGCCCCGTAAGTCTGCCGATGGCACCGCGTAGGCGAGCGCCGACGGCAGCTGCTGTTGGGGTGGTGATCTGGGCGTGCCGGGGGTGGTCGGCATTCGCAGGGGGTGGCGATGCTCTGGTCTGTTGACGCGTGCCCGTTCGCCGGACTTTTTGGCGCTCTAAGTGCCGCCGTCTTCAGCCATCTGTTGTGCCTCGTCGAGAGTCTGCTTCTGCGCCGCTTGTTCGTACGCCCGAGCCGTCAGTCGCTCCGGCTCTGCTCGCGCCCGATCCCAGCTGGCTTCCCAGCGTGACCCCGCGCGAGGCGCCGGCCGTGTGCCCGCCCCGCTCCCCCGCCGTGGTGACAGTGCGCGGTCCGATGCTGCGCCGCTTGACCCGACCTGACCTGACCTGACCTGAGCCGCCCGGCGCCAGCCGCCGGCCGCCACCGTCTCCTCAGCCAGCCTGGCCAGCATACCGGAGCTGGACGCCTCACTCTGAGCCGGCGCCCGGCACCCGGGGGTCGGTCGGTGACCGGGCGGCGGGGCCGCTGCCCGCCTCGCACTGCCCGTTCTCTCGATGTGCCCGCGCTGTGGCTTCGCATGCTGTGTGCGAGCTGCCGTGTTGTGGCGTCTGCTGTGCGCTCGTCGTAGTGTCGGGAAGCAGCGACGATCGGCGCCGAAGCCCCGGGCTTCTGCTCGGACGGCGGCCGTGATCACCGGCTCACTGCCCAGCCAGTTGGCTGGGCTGATCTTGACATTTGAAGTAATGATGCACTCCGGGGGTCTGGGTCCGAGTTTAAGGTTCTTGGTACGGACTCACCATTCCCCCTGTGGCTTGAGTTTTGTGAAGTCGCTTGTCTGAGCACCGTTCTCCACTCCCTTGCGGAACGATGTGCACTGGCCTCCGCATCGTCCTTGCACTGGTAAAATGCAGGATATGTTTTACATATATTTACACGATGCCTGAACATTTTGAATGGCACGACCATATCATTGTTCTCATTGCTATTAGCATAAGTCAAGTCCAATCTAATCTCAAGGTGGGATTTTTACCGCTCGTTTGTGGAACTCCGAGGCCGTCTTTTTATCTGTCGGTGTTCGTAAGCGTTCGCACCACCTTTTGACCAGCTATGTGCACGCCGCCTGTTTCCACCAAAAACACGTTCGCTGTACAGCTGTTAAGTCCGCCCCGTTTTGTGATGCGTGCATGTTTCGCTTTATCACGGATGTCTTGTTTCAAGCCTCATTTGTGTCCCGCTCAATCGATTAAGCTGCCTGGTTTGATGGGACCTTAGCCGTTGTATTCGGTACTACCCGAGTAGGCTGCGTGCATTTGCGTGCATTGTATGTGTGTTTGTGTGTGTGTGTGTGTGTGTGTGTGCGCGCGCGCGTGAGCGTGCTTGCACCACCACCTCCCACGTTTTGTGCAGCTGCTGACACTGTCCTCGTCCGCTGTCGTCGCCGGCGTCGTCTGACGTTCTCGCGCGCCGCGTTCCCAGATGGGCACGATGACGTCACTGAACGCCACGCAGTACTCGCACACGCCGTCGGTGAGCATCCAGCCGGGGTCGCGACCCATCACGCCTCACAGCTACAACGGCCAGTCCATCTGAGCGGGCGCGGCGCCGCGACCGCACGGGCCTCCTCGGGCCGGCGAGCGCATCGCGCCGTGTGCAGCGACAGCCAATCACGCCGCGCGGTCGTCCGGTCGGCGCGCTGCCGACCAATCGCTGCGTCCGGCCCAACCTGTCGACCGTTCAGACAACGGACGGCGAGAAAGCACAGCGGAATCGGCACCGTCCGACGCATCGAGTCGGCGTGCGCCAGTGACGTCATTTGACGGCTGTGACGTTGCGCCCGCTGTTGCCGTCACAGGGTGCCTCGGCGCCCTGTGAGCGGATGACCAGAGGCTGGGCGCCGGCGTGGCGGCAGGGCTGCGGTGCCCGGCGAGGCGGCGGTCGCGTGACATCACTGGCGACGTCACCGGTGACGTGTCGACGGTCAGAAGGCCGGAGCGGAGCGGTCGCCACCGCTCCCCTGCTCCCCCGGCCCCCTTATCCGTCCTTGTGGAGCTGTGTATGTAGCCGACCCAACGGCTGCCTGCGGCTGGTGGCGATGTCAGCCCTTTTCACATGTTGCGGCTTCAGTTAAGCGGCCGTGCGGAGGCAGCTTGAAACCAATCTGGAATTAGTTGTCGGCAGCACGTGATCGACCTGTCCAATCGGGCCACTGACGCCAGTCTTTTGCCGTGTAGTTGAAGTGCTGTCAGGACAGTGCTCGGCGCTCGGCACAGAACATAACCGGTGTTTTCGAATTTTATACATGTTTTGTATTGGGACGTGATAAGATGGGCCGCAGCTGTTGTGTATGCATTCTTGAGAATTCATTCTGCGGGATCTCAAGTGCTCGCGCGGTTAGTCAGTGGATTTACTGAATGATACTAAATTTGGCACCGCTTTTCATATGTCCGATGACCTGGCCGCGTCATTTTTTGTGCCTACGTGACCCGTGGCCGTGCTGTTCGACCAAGTGTTCTTCATACAAGTGTTTTCATTTATATCTGGTGTAGCGTGGATTTGACTAGCTGCTAGTTTAGTGAACGGTATTCCATTTTTACACATTGCATTTATCATTCTTTTATGGAGATGTCTAAAGCCCGACTCGTGCGTTACGCCACCTGCGGTGAAAACTAGCCGCGTGCGTGTGTGACGCCTGCGTTTGGAAGCGCGCGGGGAGACTACGCTCCCCTGCGTTTGTCTCTGACGCAGGCGTGGTTGGGGATATCCGCCGTTTCGTGTGGCCTTTCGAGACACTCCGGCTGTGGGGGTACCCCGGCGCAAAGCAGCCATTGACCTGCTGACCGTGCGGAGGGGCGACGAATCTCATCCGGAAAGCTCCGTCCATTGTCCGTTATCTCCGTCCATTATCTGCGGCGCCTTGTAACCTGTGCGAAGGAGCCAAGAATCTGACCTGAACTGTCCGTGCGTCGCTCGCATGGGGCGCTCCAGCAGCGTCGTGCCTCGGCGCAGTCGTGCACCGCGAGCAGCGCCGCCGCCCTAATACATTCGTGTGTCTTGTTATCGGACGTCTGAGGGTCGCGGAGACGGGACGGAAGACGGGAGTTCGGGTACGCTCCGTCAGCAGCAGTTTGTTGGAACCGGACACGCAGACCGGCGCGGCCCCAGCTCCCCACGCCTGCCAGCCCGGCCGGGCCGGTGCGCGTGTCACGGCCCGTCCCGCGTGTGTCACGCGACCGTCGCCGACTCCACGCGACTCGGCGCTAGAGCGGCTGTTCTCGGACGTGTGGCTAAGCCCTTCCCCGGCGGTGTCCTCGGCCCTCCACGCCGGCCGGTAAGCCGCCCGTCTCGCGCGGGGCGCCGGGTGCGGCTCCCCGGCTCCGGTGCAGGCGGTCGGAGCTAACGGAATCCGGCTGGGATCCGGCCTCCCGGACGCCCTCGCTTCTTGAGCGCTCTTGGCTCACGGCCAACTCTCCCCTTGACTGTCGATGCGTTCGTGACCTCGTGCCCGTGTCCGTCGTGCCGTCGTGCTGTCTCCGGCGTCCCCTAGCGTGGGGCCCTCCGCCACGGTGTCGGCGCCGTGACCAGCCAGCACTGCGGGACGTCTGGCCCCGCCGCCGGGTGAGGGCGGCGGCGGCCTCTGGCGGCGGACTAGCCGGCGGGGAATGCTGTGCTGCCGGGTCATGGCCGGACCATCCCGCACGCGGCGCGTCTCGCCATCCGGCCCCGTATGCCCCGGCCGTAGACGGACGTTTGAAGGGGTCATCACGCTGAACTTTTGGTTGGGTTGTTCACGCACGGTATTTGTGTGTGGGTTACCGCATTTCAATCCATTCGGGGGGCTTAGGACTCGATTCCGGTGGCGAATTTTGAGGTCTGAATGGATCAAAGTTTCACGGGACGAAGTGACTGACGGCTTGTAGGAATGCGGTGGTGTTTGTGCAGTTGGGCTAGTAAAACCAGCTGCTTATCCCCGGCAAGCGCCGTCGCGTTTCCTTGGCCGTTTTCCTCCCCCTGGCGCTCGGGGCTTTCAGATCATAGTCACGAAGTTGCTTGCTCTTTTGTCTCCGGCGGTTGGCGGATGATAACCATGTGAGGTCGCCGTTAATTTCCCATGCTGCCTGATATGGACGTGTAAATGGTCGCTTTGCAATTTCTCGTCACTTGACTGTGATCCACGGATTCGATGGATAGCAATGGAGCTGGGCGGGAACCAGCCAGGTCGAAGCCGGGAACGTTTGAAATGTGCGCGACCGCAAACAACTAATTAGTCGTTGCGTGCGTCATAATGGCAGTCATGCGTCCACAGTACACCTATAGCATCATGTTCTCAAGCATGTGCAGACGGTTCAAATGCAACATCGGTTGGACTGCAGGACTCGAAATGACGAGTGGTCCCGGTCGGCGTGCGACCGTCGCTTCCGGCCGCGTGGCCGCGCCATCAAAGGGTCAGACACTGGTCCGCTTTAGTCCAGTGTTCCGGCGTCGCTTAAACCGCTGGCGCGCTGTCGTATAGCTTACTGCTCATGGTCGGGCGCTCCGGGCTGACCAATCAGCTTTGACAGAAGGTACTCACCAAACCAATTATGCTAGCCTGATGCGGTGGGAAATGGTCGATGAATTAATGGACCTAGGTTATGAATCTGGATAGGGGTTCACTATCAGCGAGCTTCAGTAGCCTCGCTTCTCAAAGCGTGGGTACAGCCGCCTCGGCTACACTGTGACAGCAACAGTCAGCAATGGACCAGTATACGGCGCCCGCCTGCATGTACGTCAGCGGGCAGCGCAACGGTGTGTTGTGGAAATGGGAATGATATTCGTCTAATGGTCAAAACCTTCAACGTTTGCTTGGTGGAGGTAATGACAAAGCCTCATGCCGCAAAAAGTTCTTATTTGTAATCCTATCTTCTAGGATAGGCTCGATAACTGCAGCAGAGGTGCTTTATTTCTGACATACCTAACAACCAGTCCTTTCTATTGCATGCGATGTACACGGAAAATCTAATCAAACCCGATGTTTTTTATGGGCGGCTGACTTCGACTTAAGGATAACTGGCTGGGAGATTGACAGCTGCATTGTATCGAGCAGGCCACAGCTGGGATCAAGACAGTAGTATTTAACGACCGTTAATTGTCTTCCTAGTGAACGGTTAATGCTCCAGTTAGCGCAGCCGAAAGTTAGAGACATTCGTTTATCAGTGCCGAAAGCGCATTGGTTTCCATGATACACAGTTGGTAACATTTCACGGTGAATAGTCACTTCCAGCGCCGGGATTTGACGACCTCGCTCACGTCACGAGTCACGTGACGCGTCTGTCCGCCTGTGATTGGCGCCGACCTGTCCGCACACCGCCCCCTGGCCGGGAGCGCCGCTCCTCAGTTCAGCGCCTGGTCCAGGGTGGTCGATCTAACCGGGCGTGTCGAGTGGAACCTTGCACGCTTAAGTGCATGGCACAGTACACCGACTGCACTGGTCACCACCAGTGCCAGAGTTGGGACATATCCGCGTCACTTGCGTCACCGGTCCGGCCCTGTTCCGGGCAGAGACGCGACAGCGGGGCGCTCTCTCACAGATGTTCATAAGGCAGCCTCAGGACCACGGAGCGCCCGTGCCAGAGGTTCGGACCGGCGCAGTGCTACCACTGAAACAGTTCGGGGATGTAGTGCGGTGCTCGTCGCTGATGTTCACCCTGCTGCTGTCACTTCGACGCAACCAGCACCTCCTGACTCCCGGACGATCAGCGCTGCCATACGGGAAGTCCAGATAATCCATGACGGTCAACTGAATAGTCTCCTCGTGAAGACAGCTGGTGATCAGAAGGTCCGTCGCTGACCTTCGGACACCTCTTCAGTGCCGTCACGCCACCATGTCAGGGAGTGTATTGCAGATCTAACTGCTCGTTCGAGAACATCCCCAGATTTACAGACGGTCTCCGGCCTGTGCGGCCGCTCGAACACCGCCGCAGGATGGGACGTCACTAGAACGGCTTGAGGTCGATGGTGGGGATGGCAAGATCGCTGCAGTTCTGCTTCTTGTTCAGGAAGAAGTCCGGCTGAAAGAAGGCCAGCTGCTGCATCTCGTTCAGGCCGTCCACGTTGTCGCACAGGATCCGGGCGAACGAGGCACGCTGCAGTTGCTCCAGCTGTCGCACAGTGAAGCTGTTCGGCTGGTCCCGGATGTCGTAGAAGAACCTACAGCAGAAGAGAGCGGCCGTTACGCGATGCTCCTCCGGTTGGCTGGCGAGCCCGCTAAACAAATACCAACAATCAGCGATGAAACCAAACCAAAGCTGCCCTAATCAGGCGGATACCGCCTGAAAAACGCGCACCGCGGCGGATCAGTGCGGGGTGGCATCAGACGATTGTATCTCTCTCGTGACGCTGCTGCGGTGCGGTCTCACGCCGCCGGAGCCACCCGGCGCCTGCACCGCAAGCTGTCCTTCTGTCGCCGAGGCGGCGACGCGGTGACGTCCGCGCTCCGCGCCGCGTCCAGGAGACGTGTGGGAGTGAAAGCCGGCCTTGGAATGCACCGGCCGGTGTTTGCTTCATCCCAGACTAATGCGCTTTACACCGCGGCCCTGCCTGACCGCACAGGGCAGTGAGGTCCAATATACAGGGGGACGTGCGGCAAAACTAGAGGCTGGGAGGTCAAGTGTGATAGGAAAGGTGACAGGAGCTGGAATGACGGCTAAGTAAGACAGCGCGTCACGGATTCACGGATTAGAGCTCAGAGCATCATGGATGCTCTTTGTATATGTTATCGACCACTTAGCATCACACCTGGCATGGGGCTTTTCGCAACAGCGCAGACAGTCAGCCGGTTCATTCCATTGCCTCGTGTCAGTACGTCCGTACCAGGAGGACACATCCTGACTCGTAAATCGCCGGAGCTCGGTGTGGCCTGACGCCTCCGGTCGGCGTGTACCGGCGGTAGTCGGCGGATGGTCATAAATGTGGTAATCCGACGGCGGTGTACGCCTGGCTCGGCTCGCCTTGATGGAGTCTGAGCGCGCGCTGTTGCCGACTGGCTGCTGAACATAGTACACTCCGATCGAAGGCAGTTTGCACGATTTTTGCACTGTGTTCAGGGGCAAGGCAAAAATTAGCCCAGGACCTGGATTAGGATTCTGAGTAAAGCCGCGAGCCACCCCGGCGGGAAACGGGCGGACTCCGCATTAGCCGGCGAAGGAGACCGGTCGGTCAGATCTGTACCATCCGCGGCTAAGCACTGCCACCTATCTGACTCCACACCCGCCCGTCAAGGTCTCCCGGACGCCGAAAACTAACGGCGCGCCGGCGCCCTGCACACCCACCTGTCGCTGTAGCGCAGGTCGAAGAACTGCTCGCCGATGATGCACTGGAAGGTGGTGCCGACGGCGGAGCCGCTCAACCTCCGCTCGCTCACGCCGCCCACGAAGAGGTCCACGTCGCGGAAGTCGTCGTACACGGCCTGCAGCTGCTCCACGGCCTCTGCCGTCATGTACGGCTGGAAGTCGTCCCAGCCGGCCACGTCGTGCTCCACGCAGTTCTCCAGCGCCGTGACGTAGCTGGCCAGGCCGTGCTCGCGGCCGCGCTGGATGTTGAGCGCGATGAGGTCGAGCCCGGGCTTGCCGGTCGGCGCGAACAGGTGCTGTGTCAGAGCCGGGCTGAAGGTCGTGTCCACGCGGCCCGGCAGCTGCGAGGTCAGGCTGCGCGCCAGGTCGCCCACGATCCCGCGCAGCTGCAGGTGCGTGCTGTTGAAGAAGGTTTCCTCGAGGGGGAGGCGCCACATGCGGCCCGACCTGCTCTGCAGGCGAAACACGTCGTGCACCATCGAGTGGCCGAAGCGGAAGGCGGCTGAGGAGAACTCGGTCGTGATGGTGGGCATGGTGTCGGCCGAGTAGGCGGCCACACGCGCCCGGTCGCCCGCCTTCAGGCCGCGGTCGCGCACGTACCCGTACCCGAGGATCGCTGGCAGGAACTCGTTGTACACCACGTGCTGGTACTCGCCGACCACGATGCGGCGCGCCTCTTGGTACAGTCCGTTCGTCGTCCCAGTCCGGGTGGCGCGCGGCCAGGAACGTCGCCACGCGGTTATGCTCGCGCGTCCACACCAGGTGGACGAACGCGAGCCCGACGTTCTCGCCGGCGCGGTGGTCGCCGGAGACGAAGCAGTCGGCGGCGCGCCTCGCGCAGCGCTTCTCGTCTCGTGGCAGCAGGCGGCCCGGGTTGGTGGTGCTGATGAGGCCGCCGGTGCCGGCGCGCAGCTTGGTCGACTCGGCTTCCGAGCTGCCGTAGATGTTGCTGCCGTCGAGGTAGTGCGTGATCTGGTTCTGCTGGTTGAGCGGTCTCGCCAGGACAGTCCTCGGACGGCGCGGGCAGCGAGCGCACCTGGCTGATACAGTTCACGCCGTGCAGCGAGAAGTACGGGTCGTCTTCGGGCACGCGGATCGGGTTGCACGCCATTGGATGCAGCGACTTGGACGGGAATGAGCCGTTGCGGTGGCAGCAGTTGAAGCCGATGCCTGGGACCGCCGACTCGTCCGTCTCGTCTTCCTCGCCCTCCAGCGCGAACTCGGGCGTCGACGTCACGTCGTGGTCGACGAACTGGCCGAAGAGCGTGAGAGCGATGGTGCGGAAGCCGTCCTCGCCGTCGGCCGTGTTGCTGTTGCCGATGGCGGCGCTGACGAAGCGCGCCGATGGCAGCGGTCGGCCGGCGGCGCCGGCGGCGCGCGGCTCGCTCACGCCGTCCGCGTACTTCGGACGGGAAGTAGCGCGAGTACTGCGAGTTAGCGGAGCCGGCGCGCGGCCGCAGCAGGTTGTTGCACGAGCCGTCGTGCGTGCGGTAGCGGAGTGTGGCGTCTCCGCACTCCGGCACCGGCAGCGGCGTGCAGTTGGGCAGCAGCAGCGAGCCGAACTCCAGCACCTCGTCGCTCGGCGGCGGCAGCGAGAATGCCGCGTTGGATTCCACCGGGTCGACGGGCGGCACCTTGAAGAGCGCCCCCAACTTCTGCAGGCCGGCCAGCATGATGGCAGACAGCTGCGCCACGAGGCCGAGCGCCCGCGCCACGCGCCCCTGCGGCTCGGCGAACAGCAGCTGCAGCTCCTCGGGCGAGTTGGGCAGTGCCAGGTTCGCGTCTTTCAGCGCCAGCTTCAGCACCACCGACTCCACGCGCAGCGCCTGCTTCTCCGCCTCACACACCAGGTCGCTTACCTGCAGTAACGGAGACAGTGTGCTGTGAGAATTGGGTGACTGTGCGATGCTCGGGTTTTGTTTTCCTCTTGGGCCCTTGCATACCTTGCGATTTCAGAAGGAGTTTCAAATGAGGTTGCTAAAACCCATTTGTCTGGTCAGCCCAAAGAATGACAGATGCCTTTTATATTAAAAGTGTGCCCTTATGAGAGCAATGATGACGTTGCTTGCTGAGATAGACTTTGTGCAGCATGACCCAGCTGCGCCTTTAAAACGAGGACAAACTGATAATCTCGGGCTGTGCCCTTTCGCAGCTCTCAAGTCACCCTGCTCTCTTTAAACCAGCCATGCATGTTCCCGTGCTCAGAGGTTAACTCGCACGGAATTTAGGAAAAACAAATAAATCGCTGATGATCCTGAACCTGGAAGCAGCACGTGATGGGATCAGCCATCAGTGACCTGCACACTGTCTGGGTCATCGTCCGGTTCAGAGGCTCCGCACGCACCAGCTGGCCGCGACAGGCACGACGGATAAGTTATCGCCCCGCTTAGGAGACATGCATCAACTTGGGTTTCCCAACCTGTTCATCCGGATTTTACAGAAGCCTTTCCAAACCCAGAGCCTTGTCTCCCCTCCCATCCGGTGCTACCTCTCAGCCAGTCGGGGCGTGGCGCCGGCGTTCCCTCGCCATCCCCACTTCCTCAATGCCTGCGATCCCGCCCCACCGCGACACCACCCTGTCCCCGCTCGCCTCACCTCATCCGGCGGCAGTTTTTGGTCGATGATGAGCTGCTCGTACCGCCTGAGGCGCTTCCGGAGCGGCTCGTCCTCGCGGCGCACGCGGGCCGCGTCGGCCGGGTCCACGGTCGGCTTGGCCGGCGGCAGGTAGTCCAGCGAGAGGATGCCGGCGCTGGAACAGCCCGGCGAGGTCAGCGAGCTGGCACGCCGGTGGCCGGCGCCCGCCTCCGTCCAGCTCGAAAGTCTGGACTTGAAAAGCGGTTGGGGTGGGTGTTGCGGATGTGGTGTGCGGTGTTAAGCTATTGTGCTGCCCGGTTGTGTGATGCATGCGATGCCGGCGATGCCGTGTCCCTGTGTGAAAGCGTCATGGAGTCAGGCTCGGGTATGACGTGGCATCGCGTGAGGAGGTTAGACATGACGTGTAATTCCGGTTATTGTCCTTTATTGTGTAGGGTTTGCATGTATTTCAATCGGATTGTTGGCACAAGACACCATTGTAGGCTCAGCACGAGTGCTTTACGTGCCACACGTACTTTCCTGCAACCAGCAGTTTCAACCGTATTGTGCTCAACAGCCTAACCAAGCCTGGATGCTTTCTCAGCATTTCTCGCGTACATTCTTGAGCGCCGAGCCGTAATTTGATCTTACAGCAGGTGTACATAGTACGCAGCGCGCAGCTGTCGTCGCACGTAGTCCGCAGCAAGCGCTTCGTTCAAAGGGCTTGTAGACCTGTGAAGCCCTCGTTTCTCAGGGGCGTTTGCGTGGTAAGGAGCGGGCGAGCTCTGCGGTCTGCGTGCTGCTTAGAATACATGTTTTCAGTAGCACTCATGTGAACTGCCTACAATTCTTCAGGGCAACATGGTCGTTTCTTTGAACGGATGAATGAGACACGTAGGGAGAACCGTCTGACGCATAAATAATTTTGTCCATTCCCACCTTGCGGCTCGCGTTGCTCACGGTGGGGAAAAGCAACCAAGATTCTATCCCATCTACTGGCGCGGTCCAGGTACCTATCCGTAACCCACTCAGCTATTAAACGTAAAGGACCGCAATAAATCGCTGATGATGCCATCTCGGAACATTTAACGACTGGCCGTGATCGCTCGCCTCGCCAAAAGGACGATGCTCGTCTGGAAATAGCCAGCTGGGGAGTACGAAACTGCACCGACTCGTCTATAAATGCCCCTGCCATCCGATGTGACGTAAATCCCCATTAAAAATACATTTCCTACATCTCTGAGCATTATCTGGGAATTGAACATCCCTATGAGCCAGATGTTAACAGGACACCTCACCGTATCAGCCGGCGATTGCCGCAATTGGCATAACCGTGACGTGACGTCGTCGTTATTGGATGACATCCCCTCCCCTGAAGAAATTATCTGTAAAAAATCACTTTTTAAACCGGTCGCACATGGATTGATGAATTTTGAAATGATTCATAAAATATTTAGGGAAATAAGGTCCAAATCCCAGAGCCCAATGGCCTTAATCTTTACGCGTTTAAGTCTCCGCGAGGTGGTTGTTAGAAATAACATATTACCACACACCACACAGCTTTCGTTCTGCTGCGCATAAATTCAGGATTCAATGTGCACTGCGAGCTGTCATCAGTGCAATTTGTAAACAAGTCTCTAGAACATGTGGCGACCCTGGTTCTAACGTCGGCCAGCCCCACATCTTGCTTCCACGTCTGTGGCTTGTGAAACATAAATGTTTTCAGGTAAGCGATGCTAAAAGGTGCGTGCATTCGTTGTTTTGTGCTAGGCGCTGGATGGTACATTTGCATTTTTTATTCCCGCTCTTTGCATTTGACATAATTTACATTCCAAAGCGTTGTGCAAGCGTATCAATTGCCGGGATGTCAACATCTTTAGGGTGCTAACGTGTCTATCGCCGGGATGTCAACATTCCGAAGATTTGGTCGTGTGGTTCGACCGTCTGCAAGATAGCCACAGCTGGCCTCCACAAGTTCGGTGCGTGGAGTTTGGCTAATCCGACTCATATTTGTCTCGGTCTTTGTCCTTGTCAGGTATGGCCTGCGGCTGGTGGCAACGGTCGCGCTGAAGGTCAGGTGACGTCAGCTAAATTGACGTGGGTGAGAAAGTATACCGACTCACAGGCAAGCCGGTACATCCGAATCATAGACGGCGCACATTTATGCACCACCTAGATCTCTATTTTCGGATTATCCGCTTGGTTTCGACTTCAAACAACTCCACCCGCAGACTTACCCATTCAAACAACGCATACAGATAAGCCGACGGGCTGGTGGGCGTGCGGCCGGGAAGCTGGTGTCTGGGGTATGATCCGCCTCGGTCCGAGACACTGCTGGATACCTGTCTGGGGTATGGTCTGCCACGGCCCGGACGAGGCTGGCGACCTGTCGGATGTCTGTCTGGGGCATGATCCGCCTCGGTCCGAGACACTGCTGGAGACCAGCTGTTGCGTTCCTGCTGCGAGAGCTGCCTATCAGAAGAAATAAAGGCGGAACACCTGGCGAGGAGCTCTCAGACCGGCGTGGACTCTGTGCCACCGAACTTGGTCAAGAGTCCCGGGAGATGTGGCAGCGATCGTTAGGCAGCGGACGGCGGACGGTGGGTGGCGAGCTCGGCGGACGGAGACAGTCTGGCCGTTGGTGACTGCAAGAAGCAGCTGCAGTTGCCGAGTGCAGCCTCCTTGCAGTGTGGTGACGTGGAGTCGTCGGCGCGAGGTCTGGAGATCCGACAAGGCCCGCGGAATCAGTCGTCTGCCGGCGTGCCGGTGGAGCCGGTGGAGCCGGTGGTGTCTGCCGGCGTGCCGGTGGAGCCGGTGGAGCCGGTGGTGGCCTCTGTCGGGATTCAACCCGTCAGGAGCAACTTTTTCGGTCGGCGGCCAGCTGTTCTGTTCGGCGGGGTATCCGCCTGGGAGCAGCTGCTGACCCGTCCCGCCCGAGACCGGCCGGCCGGGGTGCAGGTGAACTGGGCGTCCGGGGCGCGAGTGAAGAGTAGAACGGCGCCAGTGAGCTGCCCCTGAGGCGTCGGTGAATGTCGGCTCGAGGTCAAGGTGGCCCGGCCCACCGGTGAGCAGATTCGGGAGGCCACTTTTGTGGAAGCTCACGGCTCGTTTGATGGCGTGAACAGGGGTGTAATGTGGCGTGAACAGGGGTGTGATGTGGCGTGACAGTTGCCTGCCGTGGACCCACATCGGACTGGTGAGGACTCAAAGTCGTGGTCTAAAGGAGTTGAACAATATGTGATCGCATCCTCGTCGCCAGGTGTTCAGTCTTCTCTTCTTCTGATGGGCAGTTCTCGAAACAGGAACTCAACGGCTCGCACGGAGCGTTATATCGGTGCCCACTCGCAGCGAGGCCTGACCAACAACTCCCCACTAGTCCGCGGGTCACGGCCCGGGTCATCTAGTACAGAGAGCAGCAAAGCTGTCGCGTCCGGACGAGATGCGGTGGTGTGACGCTTTGGGATGATGTCTTTGTTACAAGGTGCGGAGGTGGCACGTGCGGGGCCGCCATTGTGACGCATAGCATCGGTCACGACACAACAGGTTATGATGTTCCACCATTGCGTACTGAAAACGGGGCATTTCATACACCACGAACTAAAAGGAAATATTTCGTGCCTGCCGGAATTCTGGCCTGACCTTCTGTTTATTCCAGACATTTTTACCAAGCTGCCTGTTGATGATAATCAATGACATATTTTGAAATGGTAGATCTGTTTGCGAAAGACTGACGCAAATGATGGTATAAGTCCGCTGTTTCTAATCGAAGCCTAGCCGACTCTTTAAGGTAAAAATGGCGAAAACATGTCAATATCACCCGTATTGCGCCCGCCACTTTGCCTTTTCCGATAAAATGGTAGTGGAATAATGGTAGTGGAAGTTTGTGGCTTGCGTCTTGCCTTTCGATCCATGGATGTCTCGCGTGTCTCAATGTCCTACGATCTATACATCTCGATGATAACCCTCTGAACCAACAAGCGCCTTCTTGCATACTGAAGGATGGCCGTTTTCAACACAACCGACCCATGACTGCAAAAAGGAGAGTTGGAAGGCTTTTCTTTGACCATCTATAAATCTTGTGCTGCTCGTCTCCAGATCTGCCAAAGCAGGAGAACCCAGTTTTGCCGTGACTTCTGGCCCGCGAAGGGAGGTTCTATGTGATGCCATGTCGGGTGCTGCAGTCCGGCGGCACGTGCGATGACTATAAATGTGCATACAATGAGAGGCATCCCACCTGACCCTCATAATGTCCGATTGTCGTGAATGGGGAATACTCTGTTAGATAAGGGGTGCAGGAACGTGCCGCAGAGCTGTGATGGCGTTTTAAGTACATGTGGTTGCAATGAATGTTGCCTACGATGATGTTGGGATCAGAACCCTCGCCAAGCATGAAAATGAACGGTGTCCCCGTCACTTAACTGATCCGCGCTATGGATATATTCGCCCTAGCTTGTTGGTCCAACGGACCTGAGAGGTCCTTACTCTCCCATATAGCTGACCCGGCGCGGGCGCAGTGATATTGCCAACCTTGACCTTAAAGAATCCGTCAAAAAAACATTGTGAGCACAGGTCCTCGGACATTGCACTTGCAACTGGCGCCTGCTGTTCTTGCAACTGGCGCCTGGGCGGCCTGCCACTGTATCTGGTGCTTTGTCATCTGGTGCGCGGGCCGCCTGCCACTGTGTCTGGTGCCTTGCCATCTGGTGCGCGGGCCGCCAGCTACTGTATCTGGTGCCCTGTCGTTTGGTACTCAGGATGCCTGCCACTGCAACTGGTGCCTTGTCATCTGGTGCGCGGGCGGCCTGCCACTGTATCTGGTGCCTTGTCGTTTGGTACTCGGGATGCCTGCCGCTGCATCTGGTGCCTCGTGATCTGGTGCGCGGGCTGCCTGCCACTGCATCTGGTGCCTTGTCACGTGGTGCGCGGGTGGCCTGCCACTGCATCTCGTGCCCCGTCGTCTCATTCCTTGGAAGTGATTGCATTCCGATATTCACGGTGCTGATAATCAGTCCTCGCATAATTCATGCATACATTGATACGTATGGCCAATTACGAGACAACCCAGATAGCATAAAATGCGAATACTGATAGATAAGACATTACACCAACACTACCCACCACGCTTTTCCAGCGTCTTCATGTCAGGATGTGGGGCGTGCAACACGCGAATTGGAT